GGGATCAAATGCCGATCTTTTACCTAAAGAACCATTTGGGTTTTAACCCAGGTGGAATGGTTGCTTGTAAGAGAGGTCCTGCTTTTCAGCACTGCCAAATGTCTTGCCTTTTGACCATGCCCAGCTTTGCTGCTTGGCATCTCCAATTTCAAAGCTCCATGTTTCTATTGTCTGGGGGTTTATAGACATGCTCTCTTGAACTCTGAGGAGGTTGCAAACAGCATCTTTAGCTTAAAAATATTATAATTTAGTCTGCACCCTCTGTCATGAGTTTACCTGGTGAAAAAGACTAGGTGGTGAAAATTCCTGTCTCCCACCACTGTATCCGCTGCTCCAAGAGAAAAGACATTATCATGTTTGTTTCTCCTGCCAGTTATTCAGTGTTAAGAGTGACCAAAAGATACTGGTTATGACTTGAAATGGTGTTTGTCTTTAGATATGTCATGCAGAACATTACTGAAAGGTACTTTTAATTCTTGAAGGCAAGAAAAAGGAGAGGATTTTACCAGATATTGACGGTTACAATTTAAGTTATTCAATTTTGCAGTGTGATTTCACTGGTGTCAAATGGCAGATGTTGAACTTTCAGTTAGCTTACTTTGAATGTTCGTTATTTTAAGATCTCTCTCTCTCTGTCTATATTGAGGCAGAGCACAAACACAGATAAAGTAATGAAAATTTGATTAGAGATCCCACTTTTCTTTTTCCAATATTTGCAACTTTATTTTCTAATTTTGCTGTGTGCTGACATGGCATTAATATCCAAGGCAAAAAAGGAAAAATCCCCTGCAAATCCCCAAGTAAAATCAGTGACTCCTTACTCTGCTTAGCCCTAGGCTAAGCTGCTTCCTGAACGTGGCAGTAACAGAACTGCAGAAATCCCCAGGGTCAAAAGTGAAGCCAAGTGCACACTCCACCTACATGACTAAGCCTGCCCTCGAGCTAAGAGTAAGTATCACTTTAAGAAACTTCTATTTTTGTATTGAAATAAATATCCCATATGTCTTCTGAGACATTGTTTCTCCTTCATCTACACTTTTTTACCCACAGTATGACACAGTTTGATTGGACAAACGTGTATGAAACGTAATCAAAATGGTAGCAGCGTAAAATGATTGAGCGTAAGCCCGAAGGGCAGGCACTCCGAAACTCCCATGCTGGGAGCGAAGGAGCTTCGCCCAAGTTCACCCTGCATCCCTTCAACACACTCTCCTTAGCCAATTTCTCATCCCAGCCCCTGCCTGTGGGAACTGCAGATACATTAGCTGATCTTGGCAGCCTGCATTTTCCCGTCAGCCATACAGATGACTGAGGCAGATGGAATTGCTGCTCCTTCTGTAGGGTAACGTCAGTGACTGAGCTGATACTGCCGCGAGCAGAGAGCTTCCACGCTTCCCTTGTTAAAGAAATTCTGTGCAACCAGCAAAACAAAAGTTATGCAATAATCCAGCTACTGAAAGACTGCTGGAAAAAGGGAAGTAAATACTTCCCTGGTCTGTGTTTTAAGGCAAGGAGAGGATGTGATTTCCGTGCTACACAATGGAAGTCTTTCTTCCTTTTCATGACTCATTGCTTCGTCTAATTAACAGAAAAGTCAACGGGAATCATTTGTGATCTTGGCTGCGATCATTCAGAGTCTTTTCAGGTAGCAGGARTGACCAGAGAAACAAGTGACACAGTGAGGAACGTGTCTCTGGTGATCAAGACTATCATGAGAGTGGGGAAGGGCCAAATCCTGGTGGAATGGGAAAGTTGCTGCTCCTGTTCCGATCTGAGTCCTTGGTGGAAGTCTGTGATGAGGCAATAGGTAGAGAGCAGCGTGCCCCTGTCTGTCTGTCTTTTGACTTCCTGTGTGAGGAAGTGGTAACAAAATAATAGAGCAAGCACTAGAGCCAGTCTGGGTTTTTTTCAAATATGAAGTGCCTAAATATAGGTGCTTATGTACCCTTAGTCAGAGTTCTGCAAGTGCTGGACTTTCCTAAATCCCTCTGGAATCACAGAATAGAGCTGCTTCTAATTTTATTTGCCTTTGAATGTATGCATTTATAAACAGAGTATGATAAATGTATAGTTATATGACTGACTATATAATTTTATATGATAACTATTTCAGCTCTGCCTGAAAGCAGTCGTTCTTTGTTGTGGCTTTCAGTTAAACATAGGAAAATGTTGTGGACTGAATTCAATGTTTTATTTGATCCAACTTGATATGCAAAGTCACTTAAAATATTACGGATCTGTCAATATTATTAAGTCCACAGTATGTTAATATTAATAGTTACGAAAATTAACAGATACTTACTTTTACAAATATCTTGGATAGGCCTGATCTTGTCAGACATTTGGAGTCACACTAAGGATTTTGTAGCAGTCTGGACTGCCTTATGAAAGCTGCATTCATACCTTTAATTGCATATTCTCGTGTTTGGCAGGGAGCATATTCTTCCCATCCAGCAGAGAGTGGGAATAAGATAAGARAAATGGTGGGAGGGAGCACATGATAAAATTTAAAAAGTTTAGCTTGGCAACTTCTCATTAAATTGAAGTGGTTTGTAGCTGAAACATGGCATGTGTTTATGTCTGGCTCTCAAAATACGATTGAATTTTTTCTTACTGTTTGCTTAAACTGGCTTAAAGTCAAAGTGGCCCTTCAGAAGTTAGCTTGAATTCTTCCCAGCAGTGGGTGCGCGGCAGGTCCCTTGAGGCCAAACGCGCTGCAAGCAGTGGCCGAGGGGCGGTGTGCTGGGCTTGGAAACCTCCGCGCTGCTCAGGCGCTGCCTAAACCAGGTGGTGCTCCCTGGGAACGGTCTCTGGAGACACGCTCCGTATTTTCATGGAGAGCATCTGCACCTTGAAGTGACCCATCTTAAATATGTAACAGGGAGTGGAGAGTAACAGGAGCAGATGGCTTCTCTCTGCAAACAGCTCTGTGTAGCACATCTGTTTTTTAAACAGGGTTTGCGCAGGGATGCAGAGTTGCTGCCTGCCTGGGAGAGAAATGCAAAAAATCCTGGGAAAAATATAGGGTAGTATTATAAAGGAGGTCTAGTTTGCATAGGAGCTGTTATATATAAAATTACTAATCCATTGAGGCTCAATAGATTTCATCCTGGATGGATGAAATCTTACTGTACATCAGATCTTACGGGATGAGAGTCAGCAAGAAGCAGCAATCAGTGTGTCTGCATACCAAGTCAGATCCGAATTCTGAATTACTCTAGTAGGGTTTCCAGAGAAGGTCAGTCCCTACTAAGAACTACAACGTCATGAGAGTTTCGTAAATATTTTTCTGTAATTTCATATTCTGCCTAGCCAATAGRTATCCTCCAGTCATGATATTTTGCCTGGTCCTCCATTGCTGTAATCACACAGCTCAGATCTGGTGATTGCAGGTAGAATCTTCACTCTAGAACTTTCTGTGATAAGCAACTAGAATTAAATTGCACGGGATAAACTAGCTGTAACAAATATTTAAGAGAAAACATGTTTAACACCATCTTTAATTTGGAAAGAATTTAACAGTAAAGTCTGTGGAAATATAAGGATTAAAGCAATCTGTAGTCTACTGAAACCGTCTTGGGAGCATTAACATTTTCCACGATCAATAAGTAAGCTGCCATGCTAGCTATCTCATTTTGCAAAACAGTAAAAAATCAATTTATTATAGCATCAGATAGAACTAACCTGAGCACGTTGTATCTTCCATTCTATATAGAGGAACTCCAGCACATTAAGTATCACTTCAGTAATAACACTTTAAATTTAGTATCGCTAATTTTAGCAGCTTACTTCTGGAAGTCATTATTTTATAGTCATTCGCTTGCCCCGAGGCTGACAGTGACTTAGGAACTGCCGATGAGACATAACAAAACAGCTCACGGGAGGTAGGGTGGTTGCCAGTTTTCTGACAGTAGTAAAGAGTCAATGCTTATTTGCTTGCAGCCGTACTGCAAGTGCATCACATTAAGTCTAGCTAAAGTCACTTCTAAACACTCTTGGTTTCCTTCAGTCAAGCACATTTTAATTGGTGTTTTCCGTGTCAGTGAAAGTCTCACAGACATTTAAATCTCCTCTTAAAAGGTTATTTTAAAGATATACTGTCAAAATCATCTTTGTGGACACAGAAAATAGATAACACCAACTTCAGTCTTGTAGACTACRTTACTCCATCTGCCTGAAGTGACTGTTGAAGGATCACTGCAGTTTTCTGAAACATGGTTCTTTCTTGGAGAAATGGGTGTGAATTCACCCCATGCTGCCCACTCACCTCCCCAGCATCCCACTTGCAAAAGGAAGAGTTGTGGGGGTGCCTAGCTGCTTCCTGCRTGAGCTGCTCCGTGCATGGGGACATCGTGGTTGCTCTTCTCTAAGGCTTTCCCAGCTCACACGGTGCTCCTGATGTGGTGAATCACGCAGGTGACAGTGTCATAATGAACTTATGTGATTTGTTTTTTATTCATGTCCTAACAACYCCCACCATTAGGAGTATTTTGTTTTGGTTTTAAGTTTTGAGGGTGTTGGACTGCTGYGTCTTGGCCTGAAATCACTGTCTCATTACTCGCTTAATCCTGAGATCTCTCTTATGTGTGCTAATAGTCAGCTCAAAGGGCCTCATTTTTGTGCAAATCTAGGATTTTCTATGATTTGTTTTCCCCAATGTGAATCCCTTCTGCAATCCTCTGCAGTAAATTTCATCTGCTTTTTATTACCCACTCTATGAGTCTTGTAAAGCCCTTCTGCATTTCTTCATAGCCAACCCTAGTCCTTACTGCCCTTTGCTTAGTATCATCAGATTTCAGTTAATGTAGAGCTCCATGGTTTCCCCTTACCATGAAAACTGAAACTTTATTCTTCCTGCCCTCTATTTCTTATGTGTTAATCTGCTTCATAGCCATTGTAAGACTTCCTTCTTAGTCCTGCTGTGTAGTTGTCTCAGAGGTGTTTGGTGAGGGTTGTGAAAGGATTTCAGAAAAACAGTGCAAATATACCCGTCAGATCATCCACATCCACAAGCTTCTTGTCACCTTCAATCAAGTGTAACAAGTGCATGAAAGAAGGCTTCCTTTTAATAAAGCTATCTCAGTATATATTTATGTTGATTGATTATTGTATATATTTCTATTTAAACATGGCCATTTAAGTATAACATAATTTCTTCTCATTGATTATGATCTTTATAACTCTAATTAACACATCAGTTAAGTTTGAACTGTTCCATTTATCTTGAATAGGGTTTTGGAAACAGAGACAGCAAAGGAAATAGATTTAACAATCATCTCGAAAAAAAAGCAAAGGTAGTAATGTAGCAAGAGGGGATCCGTTCTCTGGCATTTTCATCAGGAAGTTTTTCTTTCTTTTGATCCACGAAAAATTCCGGGGCATATTTTTCCTTTTCCTTTGTTAGACTGGTGACTCAGTCTTGTTGCTCCTGTAAAGGGGAGAAGTACAAAGTGAACAGTTAAGAAACTTCCTGATAGAACCGTGGCCCTTACTGGGAACTACAAGGAGATCAGCACTTAGGAATGTGTGTCCACTTGTGCAAGAAAATTGAAGACCTGTTTTTACTTTATCATCYGACTGACATATGTAAAGAGCCCCAGAAATCCTGTGTTTACAGCTTTGCTCTATCAGAATGTACATATATGTGTGCCCAACCACGGGACAGCTGAGATCCAACTCTCACCATTTATAGCAGTGAAGGATAATTAATGGAGGAATGCCAACTGTAGCTCTAAATTATATGGAAAGGGAAAACAAGKCTTGGAGAACTTGGTTTTTAGAAGTGTCAAACACTCCCAGATTTTGCTGTCATCTTAAAAGGTTTGTGCGTGTGTGTGGTACATATGGTCTTTTGGGTGGCTTAACACTGTGACCCCATTACAGCCAGGAAATGATTTTAATCCCATKGTTGATTCTCAGTCATTTAACAATATTGATTAAGAGAGAGCTAATGGGAAGAATTACTAATGGCAGCAGAGGGTGAGCATTTTTCCTGCCAACAGATTACACTGTTGGCTTTTTTCAATAGCTTCTACATAAATAAAGACTACACAGCTTACTTCTCCCGAATAGCCTTTGTGATCAGCCGCACCCACGGAGCAGCGGGTTCCAGGCACACTTCTCTGCCTCCCTTCAGAGTAGCTCTGCAAAGAAAGAAACAACACAGGTTGAGGTAAATGGATCCCTCCCACTCTCCTAACATTTTTTTAATACACCTTAGATATTTGGCAATAAAATAAATGCTGGAGCTGGCCTTTACTGTTGTTTGTTTCGGCTATTTTCTATATCCTAACTAGTAGTTCTGCGGGCATTGAGTGAGGAAATGGTTTCATGGGAGTCTGTGTGCTTTAGTATGATTACAAACTACAAATGAGGGAGTTGGACTAGATGATCTCCAAAGGTCCCTTCCAATCTCAACCATTCTGTGATTTTATGATTCTGTGATTCTGTTAAGTGGATTGTTTTCTATACTTGGCCATTTATAGTTCTTTTCTTCATTGTAAATTGTCTAAAATAATGCACTTATTATGTGCATTATTGCTAAAAGTTGCTTATTATGCAACTTCTTCTGATGAATCTAGGGGAAATTTTATGAAGTTTCTCTTCTCTTTCTGACCATTGTTTAGCAAATCTTTTAGAAACTTYATTATCTTGGAGACCTCTTTCTCTGTCAAACCTGTCTGAAATTCCTGGCTACTGGTAAGATATAAATGGACAACAGTCACAGTTTTGCATTGTTTTTTTTGGCCACAGAAGTACTGTTTGCTTATGAAATCCTAGTGGAAACAAACCAAAAAAGCCCTGAAATGCCCCTTCCTCCATTAACGTGTGTGCACTCATTCAAGCAATCTGAGTATTTCTGCTGTGGTTTCGTATATATGCAAACTTACAGTGTTTTTACTTGGTACCATATGGATTTTACAGTTTGTGTTTAATTCCCACACCAACATATTGCTCTCAAGAAAATGCTCAGTCTGGAATTTTTGACATAAGGAAAAACCTGCAGCGTTTCAGAACTTCACGCCATGTAGACAAAGTTAATGAAAGTTACTGGGGTTCATTCTAGTGCGAGTCAGCCAATTCTGTCCCCTGGCATTGGTCATAATGAAGATATTAGCACAGAGAGACCTGTAAAACTGTGTCTGGAGGCAGGACTTCAGGTAATTTCTTTGGGTAAAACACACATTTTGTATTTAGCAACTACTGAGGTGCCACAGGGAATATATCATTCCRTGCAAACTACCCAAGGGCCAAAGGCATGAAATGCAAAGCCATTGTCTTCTGATGGAAGAAAAGTGGTATTTTGCAGAAGTACTCACATGATTTCCACATTATTGCAGTGAGGTCCACTTTCAATTAGTTGAATGCTCTTGATGTACTTGGGGCGGATGAAATGGGATAAATTTGATATACACTGGCATTTGGAGTCTTTCAGTCCTGTGTTTTCTGAGACACTCACYGTGGAAAGAAATGCAGTTATGAATGTTTAAATGGACCATATCATTATTCTGAACTTATTATACACACACAAAAAAATTACTTTCTGTCAATCCTGTTTTCGCTAATGCTAGACAGTATGTTTTTCTGAAGACCTTCGGGAAAAAAAGGCTGATTCTGCACAGTAACAGAAGTCTAATTTTCTGAGTTGCTGATAGGCAGGTGCCTTTAAAAGCAAATTTGCATTACTTGCTTAAGTGAAAATGTGTACATGTTTTCATAGTGCACTTGTGCCTGGCCAGATTCTGCTCCTAAATTAAATCACTTGAAAGTCTCGATTAACATTATCATCTATGTCCACATATTTTTTATTAGTTTGCACCATGATCATCTGTTATAGTTTATTCTCTCCTCCAAACTGCCGCATTTTTGCTTTAAGGAAGCACTTTCCTTGGCATGTATATCAGGAATTAAAGTACAAATAGGAAAAAGTTGTCATTCAGAAAGGAAGAGATACATGGACACATTTAGGAAAAAAGATCCTGTCAAGCATTGCTTATAGTCTAGATCTAAGCGTACATTAAATATCACTTTCCTGACAGAGCTGGACTTTCTCCCTGGAAATCGCTCCAGCATCCCAACACATGTTAATAAAAACACTGTCTTTTACTTATGAATGACAATGTTTATTGAAAACACTGATCCCTTGTAAGAAAATGGACATTAAGACAGYATGAGTCTGCCTGAATTTATTACTTTATATACTCATGAGTCATGAGAGCTTTCCGAAATCATTTTCTTACCTTCCGACACAGCCACTGAGACGAGAGCAAGCAGAAAGGCGACTGCGACAATTTTGCGCTCCATTCTCGTGCCCAGACTTTCTTCCTGGCACTTCTGCCCTGGTCCTGTTTCACATCTCGCTTTATATCAAACGTGGGTGCTCCTCCCACCCGAAACACCAAGCAAGAACCCTGCAGTGCATCGGGTTCTTCTCTAGAAAGAAGTTGCCCAATATGTGAAACTACTGCATAACAAATCTAAGTCCCTGTGAAGCCCATTTGATAACACTTTGTATTTTCTGAAATGTTTTAGAATTATTATTCCTGACATGCTGTTTGGTGGTGTATGACAGTTATAACCAGTAATGCTAATGTTGCACTCTGAATTTAATAGAACATTAACTGGATCCCCCACACCTAAAATACAGACTTATTTTCTCTTTGAATTCAATAGAAATTCTTCTTGAATTCTTCGCGTTTTGTCAAATTCTTCACATATTTTAAGCAAAAACTCAGACCCTATGAAAATTAATGATTGTGGACTGTATTTTGATATGCCTCTGATCGAGCAGCTTATCCGTTGTCTTATAAAGGACTAACTCATTAATTCTTACTGTTGGATGACAGACTTTGGACTATAATATTCAATKTGGCCAAAAGTATTTAGATACTTCATTCTGTACTGCTTTGAAAAGCTTTTGCACTCAYTGAACAAGAAAAGATGAGTATTAAATAACTTGGAGACTGTCTCCTAAGTTGCTTAAGCCTTTGGGAAGATTTCAGTTGTTCTGGCTGTGGAGAGAACTGAATGAGTGTGACAACAAGACTGCAACACCACCCAATTAAACTAAGAACTCAAAATGTGGGCTGTTTTCCTTTCTGACTACATTCAACTGGAATAGTCATAGATGTTTAAAACAGTAGACAAATGTCAGATAAAAGTGAAATATCTCTTCAGTGGTTCCCATAAGGAAACCACTCACAGAGTATGTGTTGTTTGTCTGTTGGGACGCTAAGGAACTCTTGTCTTTTCTGCAGTGCAAAAGCAGTAGTGTCAGGAAAAGACACCTGGCATCAAATTCTCCTTTGCTAAAAGCTGTTGCTTATTCTGAATTTCTCAAACCATCAAGAAAGGGATTTTGTTTTCAAAAGGTGGGGCCTGCTAAACAGGAGCCTTGATGTGGTGTGCAAGGGAAATAATATTCTTTTCTGGATAGATAGCTTCTAGTTTCTGCTAATTGGGGACCAGGACAAGGCTGCTTAGGATATGTTAATTCCCTAGGATTGGAATGGATTTTGACCAAGCAAAACTCTTTTTTGCTGACTCTGAATCACCTGATAACCGTGTAAGTTAAAGTAAAAAGTTGAAGATGAAGTTATTGCCGTAACATAAATACTAATTCAGGGGTGTTAGCCAGTGCAGTACCATAAATTCATTGTGAGCTCACATATAACATATTACAAAAAAAAAAAAAAAAAAGATCTTCTAGGCTACTAAGCTGTACTCCACAAGCTGGTGTGAGTGGATAAAGCTGATTGCTTGAAAAAGTCATGTTTGATAAAGGTATCCACCAAGTCAGAAAAGTTGCAGTGCTTCTCTTAGTTTGTGCTGGGTGTCTGCGAGCACTGAAAAGTGCTTTTGGAAGTGTAAGGAATGTTAGTATGTTCATCAGAAAAGTATCCTGTGAGTACATACAATATAGAAATACAATATTTAATTATTTCTAGGCAATCTCTAAATCATTTCACTCTGCTGAGTGAAAGCCTAAGGAGTAAAGAAGAGACATGGCTCAGTCACCGTGCAGGCAGATGTCGTGGCTGGGGTCCTGGTTGCTCAGTCATTGCAGACATTTGGGACAGGAGCATTTATGACAAGAGCCCTTGGCCCTGAATGAGCTCCCAGTAATGTCTGGGATGCTCCTGATGGAAAAGGCTATGCACTTACTGTGTGCATCCACACAGCACTCGAATGTGGCTGGCAGAGCTCTCCTGTTGCAGGAAAGATTGCTCGAGCAAGAGCAGAGGCTCCCTCTTCATCTTCTGATAACACAGGCAAACATAGCTGCTTGTGCAGAGTATGGAGGAGCTTCTTATTGGAAGACAAACAAGTATCAGAAGGTTCTCTCAACATTCTCCTTTTCTCAAGTGTTTGCTGTTTCCATCCCAACTATTTCTAGGCATCACTGTGTCACAGACACATGGCTGTAGAATCTCAACCCCAGTATCTTAGCATTTCCCCCCATGGAGCCCTCCCTCCCCACCAGAGCTAGAGAGGATGCTTAAAGACTGTCAGGCTTGAAGACATTCCATACTAATGTCACATATGTCCGAATATTTCAAGTTAATGATAAAGCTCATTTGTGCCAAATTCTCAGGTAGTTTTCTGCCTCAGCACCAGCACTGTTATAGCCTGGAAATTTCTGTGACTAGCCATTATTTATTTATTAGTTCGCAAATTTTATTGGCCCTTAAGGTTATTACTAGTGAAAGCTCAAGAACGATCACCCAGACCACTGAAAGCTTTGAATATGTCAGGAAAAGAGGAAGCAAGTCAATTACTTCCCTTTACATTTTTGCCTATTGAAAATCATCTGTGTTCATGGGAAGCAAGGAGTTGCACTTGTCCTGCTGAGATCCATTCAGGCAATACAAAGGGAGAAAAAAATATAGTTCTTTATTTAAATAAGGAAAATATTAACATACAATAAATAAATAAAACATTGCAACAAGCATTTCTTAGGCACATTAGTATCAATGTTTTAAATAAATAAATAAATAAATAAAGCTAACTACATTCTTATGCAAGAGTATAAATTAAATAACATCTGGAAACATTACTAACCATCAAATAGAATCTAAATAAATAAATTAAGTTATGCTTTTTTAAACTTAAGTGTGGCATTGAAATAGTTATTCAAACCTTCTCAAAATTAGTTTATAATGTCTTCAAAATGATGGCACAAAACCTAATGCCTTGTGCATTTTGGTGCTCCGATTCTTCTGGTTCTTCTGGTAGCCCCCCTCCAAATGATGAGGGCCCAGGCACAGTGTGCCTGGCTGTGCACACTCAGAGAGAAGCCCTTCTCCCTCACCAAGTCACTTGCCTGTTGCTAATCTATTAGCAAGCAAAGGTTAGCAAAACCTGTGCTGAGGGGGCACTGCACTAATGCAGCTGGGTTTAGCAGAAGTTGTTTCAAAAGCCTCCCTCTCTCTTTTCCTAAGTCATTTTGCTGTCTGCTTGTTCAGGTTTCAGTGGTTTCTCTCACAAGCAATGAGAGTTCTTATAAAGACTTGAAGTTCTGCTTTCAAGTAAATGTGCACTGTCCAGATGCTGTTGAAAGTGTGAGTGTAGGAGATGATAGAGGCAGGTCGATTGCCAGAAGTCTGATTGCGATGACTCCCATTTTGCCTTTATGAAGGAGTTACATTCTTCACCTTAGGACACTGTCTCAGTGTTGTTATTTGCCCTGCAAGGAAAGAGACAGTTAAAACTTGGCCATGGAGCTGCTATCACTCCCTGCAAGCAGGGGAAATCAGCAGCTAAGGGCTTGTGCTTCTGCATCCTAGCCCCTTAAAAGCTGTTGCATATCTCGTGGAAAGCTGATCCTCARCTTTCCACAAGAGGCCCATAACTCAGTGAGCTGCTGTGGTTTGTTGCCTCACCTAATTACTGCTGGCCATGATTTCTCCCTCACTCATCTAAATGCTATTAATTTTGTATATATATAAGTAAATAAATATACACATATATCATATATAAAAATATATAAATATAAATAAGTAGAAAAAGTTATTCCTGTTTTAACCACTGAAAGAAAGGATAAAACCAGTCAGTTAGTGCCTGGATTTCCAGATAGCTGAGCACCTGGGCTGTAGGTTTGCAGTATGCAGTATGCAGTATGCTCCTGCCTTGCCAGAGATGTAGCTAATATTTATAGGTGCCATGTGGCCCAATAAGAGACTGAACCTAATGCTATAGTTAAAGCTCAAAGTGGTCACAACATGTGCCCCACTTAAGGGAAAGAGTGAACAAAAAGGATGGCAACCACCCCGAGGAGCCAGAATTTTCGAACAATTTGTGTTGTTCATGTTTGCTGCCTCTTTCACAGTACTATTTTTTTTCTGTAAGAAGTTCTTATTGATTGCAAAAGACTCACTTGTCCAAAATTGCCTTGATGATCAGCTTCACCCACGGAGCAGTGGGTTCCAAACACAATTCTTTGCCATCTTTCAGAGTCGCTCTGCACCAGAGGGGAAAAAGGAAGGCAAAAGATCAACATGGGGAATTCCTGGGCAATTCTCCCATGCTCTTAACATCATTGTGCTTTGATTAGTTCAGGCCAGGATAGCAGGTGTACACTAACATATTCTCTTTAACTTTAACTTGTGTCAGCTGAAGCTGGAGCCTAATAAATAGTGCCATATATTGTTTCGTATCTCATGTCCATTTGAATGTATTAAACCACTTGCAGGATTTATGSTGCTTTCTAAATTGCTCAAATCTTCATATAGTTTTGTTTGTATTCATAATGGATTTTATATCAGGGGTAAATCTTTCCATTTTCCCTAAGAAAATGTGTTGTGCTGGCTCTTCCAGAGGCATTTTGATGTGGTAAGACTTCAAGAATTGTGACTGGTTTTATGATTGCCAGGTTCTATGAAATGTCTGGTTATGATTGCCAGGTTATGGTTTTAGATTGCCTGGTTCATTCAAGTTGATATTTTTTTCACTTCATCAGTATGGCTCAATGTATTTGATTCTCCTCCSTTATGCTCATGAAATTCAGAATTTTAGAAAATTTAAGGTTTAAGATGACATGTTACATGGGATATTGAAAATACAAGGGTGGAGACTGGCAAAAAATCACAGAATGGTTGAGTTTGGAAGGGACCTGTAGAGATCATCTAGTCCAACTTCCCTGCTCAAGCAAGGACATCTAGAGCTCATGGCACAGGGTGGCATCCAGGCGGGTTTTGAAGACCTCCAGAGAAGGAGACTCCACAGCCTCTCTGGGCAGCCTGTTCCAGGGCTCTGTCAATGTCGAAATGCCCTTTAAGAGTTAAAGAATCATTTCTAGGAGAATGGCTGTTACAGTTTTGAGGTCTGAGCAGCCAGCCCTACTAGCTTGTAACGTTTTTCAGATAACAACTACACCACTTCTAATGCAAAAGCTATTTCCTCCTTGGTAAAAAACAGAGAGAAATTTGCAGAAGCACTTACATGACTTCAACATTCTGGCAGTGTGGTCCRCTTTGGATGAGTCTCACATTTTGAATAAACTTGGGATGGATGAAACGAGAGTGGGTGTCTATGCACAGGCATCGAAGTTCAATCCCCGAGCGAGCCAGGGCCATACCTGTAAAATGGGAATAGGAAACTTAAATGAAGGGTAGATATGTTGGCTGCATCAGTATTGGCACAAGAAGCACAGCATGATGTTTTTCTTATAGTAGTAATAGTCATTAATCAATATTAATTAATCTCATTTTTAGGAGTATGTGAGCTTGAAAAAGACTACCTTCACTTACTCTTTCAAACTACCTAATAACCATATCTGGTTATTAGCAGCTAGTGGTTTAGAGAGATTCAAAAATGCAATTTCTGAATGCCAGCAGTTTTAGAACTGTGTTTTTATTATGTCTGATACTTGCTACATCAGATTATTTGTGGACTTACATCCTTCCACCTGAAAACAGGATCAGACCCCTGATTCGGTTAATATCTGAGGCAAAAAATTATTTGCTGCACTTCTAAGAATGTATCTTAATGTATCTCCCTGTCAGCATTCAAGCTAGCAATTAATCAGGAAAGTTTTAGGAAGGACTTTGTTACCTTTTGTTGCAGCCATGGAGATAAGGAGAAGAGTGAGGACAGTTACGACGACCTTGCCCTTCATGGTGGTGCAGATGTTTTTCTCCCTCGCGTCTCCTGGCTCTGGCCGCACAGACAGGTGAGCTCCTGTAGCCCCAAGGGTGGGTGATGGTTGTGCCCTGGGACCTGCTGTGTTTATATAGCAGCGTAGCTTCCTGCGTGAGCATTGCCCATGCAAATGGAAACTCCTGAGCATGTAAGATGCTATCACAAAATGAGTCACACTCAAGTGGGTAAACCCCTCTTCATAGATGACCATCGAATTGCTCTTCACAACAGAGAACTCATTATTCATTGAATATAAAAGCATAAGATATGCAGAATATTGCCCTGTGGTTAGCCTCATGGAATGTATAGATTTATGTATTACTAATTTTCTTGGATATTGTGGCTATTTTGTTTTATAGCTTCATAGTTTTTTTCTATTATTATCATGTTATGCTTTATGATTTAACAATTCAGATGGGATGCAGATGATCTGTGACACCAAAGCTGGTTTTCTTTCTTTTGTTTGTATTTTATCTTTTTTTTTTTTTCAAGAACTAGTAGAACTGTAAACTAACACCATTTTGTGGAAATGATGAATGCTAGAACTGCTAGATACCACTCTGAGCCTAGCTTCATTTGATAGCTCCTGGTTCTTGTGTCAGGCAAGAGAGTGAGCAACCAGTCCCTGYATAATCACATCTCCCTTGGACTACCTGCTTTTGCAATGTGTGCTGTTGCCTGGTAAGAACATGGTTCATGGATTGTTCGTTTTATCTGAACTTGTTTTTCCAGCAAACCGCTACTGTGAACAGCAAACATCCTACAGCAGTGTARGGGAACATATCACTGGGAATGCATATGTGCAGAAAGAAAATGGTGATGTGAATTTCCATTGGCCCTGGAATGTAGAACTCGCTTTTTCAAGTAAGCCAAAGGAATTGTCATTTGCCTTTAGTTTCAGAGCTATAAAGGTTACTTCTGTACCATGAGTGCAAGGCAGGTGATACTGTGTTCCCTGTGTAAAACCTGCTGCCTGTTGCGTTTTAAGGAAACGTTGTTTCTGCCTTCCTGAGCCAGACAGATAAGCTGCTTGATATTGTGCWTTGTTACTTCTCAAATACAGAGAGAGGAGACTTAGATATCTCACTTCTCTCATGTAGATATGATGATTACAGTAAAATAAACCTTGATCCAGGAGTATTGGGAACAGTGGGAACTATTGAGCGACAAGAGTACTTCAGTCAATGTTCTCATGCGTAATTTAAAAATCAAAGAAAAGCTAGAGGTAGTTGACTACTTCTGTGGAGTACTCAGCTTTCCGAAAACTCACAAGCAGGAAATGCAAAATTTCTTTCATGGTTGAAGAGAGAAGTCAGAAAAGAGGAACCATAAATGAGAAGAGCATTGTGGTCAAACACTTGTAGTTTGGGGTAAGAAAGGAACAGCTCTTTGAATTCATTTACAGGGCCCTAGTTCTGGAAAAGTGAAGAATGAAAAGCTGGTGAATAATACAGACAGTGTCTTACTGAAAGGGACAATTCATAAGCCTTAAATACGAGTATCATAAATGGTATCAGTGGCAACCTCCCCTTCCTTTGTACTAAGAGTCATAAATAGGGCTTTTGAAAAGCTTGAACTCCCATGACACAAGAAGGTGTTAACATGTAGTGAGCTTTATCTCTTGTTGGTGATAAGATTTTTGAAAACTGATGGACTTATCAGGGATGTGTGACACATAGGAATCTACTCCAGAGACTAATCTAATATCCTGCATCCATCTTTTGGAAATAATGTGCAGTATAGAAGTCCCTGTTTGAGTCGCTTGGTAAACTGCCACTTTGAGTCCAACAATATTTGCTACTGTGAGCATAAAACTAGCTAATTCTGTGGTCAAGGCTTCCTCATAAGTTTTGCCGTGGCGCAGCAGAGGGCAACCTCAGTGCGTCTGAGCTTCCAACATGAAGAAAAAGGGAGTTCCCGGGGCCCTTTCTGTGCACTGCTCTCTAACTGTGCCTGAGTCGCCTGACTGGAGATGGCCAAAGAAAGCATTTATCTCGATATATAAAGACGAAAATATACCCTTTATTATTTCTTAATTTAAAAACATTAGAAAAGTCAGGATTACAAGTTTGCAAGCAGCAACATTGAAAGATTTCTGTACGAAAGATATGCAATAAAATGCTGTAAAATGACTTGCTTTGATTACTCTGTAAATCTTTATTATTATTATATATTTTATATTTACTAGTTGTATATTATTATTTGTACATACTTAGTACATCTTCTTGATGTCCCTCAGTAGTGTTTTAATCAGCCCTCTACATGTGTGCCCAAGAAGTAATTTGTTTCTGTTGCTCAGTTAACATGGGATTCTGCAAGCCTAACTCATCTTCATGAGCCCTTCGCAGGAAATTCTTATAATTCTTCTCCCATGCCCCTGCTTTGAAACTGTGCTTGCTTGTCATCCAAAGCTATTAACAGGAGTAGAAATTGCCTTCATTTTTCTTTAAAAAAGCCTGAGATAAAGCGTATTTCCTAGAGCTGTTCTCTATTAGGGCTGATGTTATGAAGTTCAGTGTGGAAGTGACTTAATATGTTGGTCAGGAAGTTGTACAAAGTGTTCTGAGAAGAAGGAAAAGAGGTAGAGCTCTACCGTCCCACGGCATGACTTCCGCACGCCGCAGGAGGTAGCGATCCCTGCTCCTGTAATTTCTGTGTGGCCCCATGAGTCTTGCTGCAGAGAAACAGCCTTTCAACACCTTGGGTGGTGAATAGTTTCTTCCACCCACACTCATGATGAAATGTCCTCTTTGCAGGCAAGGAGAAGTCTCTCTGAGTTCTCCCAGGAGAGGACCTGGAATGTGGATCTTCTCCCTGCACAAGCAAATGTTCCCGCAATAGGCGGGATATATACTCTGAAGGTAATATAATACCCTGAAACCAACCCTGTCAATTCTTGCTATGCATAAAATGCTCTGTCTCTTCATTTTATGTTAGTCAGCTCAACTTYCCCTTGTTCACGTTGTTGGTTGTTCTTGATCTTAGTCTAATGCATTTATTAGTTCCCCAACTTTCCTGTTTATCATTCTTTTTCCCCACCCGTTTAGCTGGGCACGTAAGCATGTTGGTGATGAGCTCAAGCATCATTCCAGCAGTGCCTGAGCCTCACTCAGCATATTTATTGCTGACTCAGAACTTTGTTCACGCTTTTCAGCAGTCCAAAGGAGTCCAAAATTACAGTCCTTACTGTGCCCTATGGCCTATTCATGATGCAATCACATTTCATTTGCAAATCAGTTTTGATGGAAAATATCTGACTTTGTATATTCCTGGCATTTCACTGTCTATGAGGTAACTGCCTAGGAAATGAGGTCATCTCCATAAAGGGAAGTAGTACTGAGAAAAAACACGTGGTCACAATGCTGCCTGAAACGTGAACAGGATATTCGGGCTGATCAATGTGCAGCTATATATTTTCAGTGAAAAGGTGACCACTGTGGTTTAATTGCATTAGTTTCATTTCTAAGAAGAATGGTTTCAGTAGGATTACTGAGGGACTTTCCAGTATTTCAGGCAGTATCAACATACACTGTCCTGCAAGATGCTTGTAATCCTTTTTTATCAATCATCTTAAATAAGAGAAAACCAGTTATGATACATGGATCAAAGAGATTCTCAAACAAATATTTTACTTAGCCTTCTTTTCTCCGGGTTAAATACCCCAGTTCTCTCAGCCTTTCCTTATAAATCAGATGCTCCACTCTCATAATCATCCTAGTAGCCCTTCACYGGCCTTGCTCCAGTAGGTTCATATCTCTCTTACTGTGAACTCACGACTGATCAGAAACAGACATTGAGTCGGAGGAAAGAGACCAGGGAACATTTAGGAACAGATCTTGGCCCTATCCTCACACGCACTCATTTCTTTCCTCTTCTTCGAAAGTCTCTGCCCACTTTGTTGTGCTCAAACCAGAAATCTGTTTTCTTGGTATCTCTCACATACTTGAGAGAAGGGGCTGAAATAATAATAGTTTTTCTCAAATAGTCCCTTCTCAAACTACTGCATTTCAAGCAGTGCAAGCTTCTAAACTTGAATGTATTAAAAAGGTACAAAGCATAAGAGCTAGTAGGAGACAGAGAGGGTGTGTTGACCTCTAATTGCTGTGCGTGAATCACCCAGACATTTTTTGTTTCCAAAGTTTCAGGTGTATGGAGGAAAAATCAGTTTGAACAGGAAATAGAGAACTTGTGTTATATCCCTTCTGTCTGCACCTATGGGAACAAAGGGAGCAGACAGAAACTTGGCAAGGATGGGAGCAGAAGCCTTCACTGCCTTTCATCCAGGAGGGCCCTCTCTTTGCAACGTGTGGGATTCTGGTTCCTCATGAAACTCATCTGCATTAAACAGGCTATATGTTGGTATGCTGACATCATATGAAACCTATACAGAGCCTTTAGCTCCTTAAACAAAGACCTCTCACCTTGGATCTGAGGGAAAACACTCCAAGTGTTTTACTTATTCCGAGTAAGTTCCAAATAAAYGCTGACCAAGCACAGAAGCTTTCCGGCTTTTCACAATGTCTTCTGGCAACATAAGAAAGAGGTAGAGAAGGCAGTGGTTTACTTTTATGTCTGTTAGCCTCATGGCTGCTCTCAAAACAACAATTCAGAACATGTGGAACACAAAATGCATCTAAATCATGTAGGCAGGTTTGGGAATGTGTAAGTGCTAATATATTAGAAGCTCTTGAGGCTTTAGACCTACCTGCAGAAATCTCTCTGGCAGGTGGGGCGCAGGCTTTGTGTTTGCTCAGAGCACACCGACAACGTGACTTGTGTGAGCCGGTATCCAGAATGATTGCTACAGACCACTGGTCTGTAAAACACAGGATGAAAACACAGCAGGACACATAGTCACATGCTGTGCAAGAGGACTTTCCCAAGTTACGTAGGACATGCAGGCATTTAGATCTGACTTTGCCAGATACAGAGGAGCCGTGTGCATCAAAACGTCTGCTGTCATCTCCATCGCCTATT